ATGAGGACCTATCGAGCGTATTACGCGATCTCCTGTCTCTACTGAAACCACCGCGACCGCCTCCTCAGGCTTCTGGTCCAAGCACTCAGCGTGTCTTGCCATACACGCTCATCACGCAGACCCTTCTTTCAGCACACCTGCCACCAATCTTCCTCGCCACCGTCCTGCTCGCCTACACGCCATCAACCCCTCCGCCGGTACACGCGGGTCTACGAACGACTCTCCTCGAAACGTTGAACGTTTTGTCGCCGACACAATCTCTCGGAGCGCTGGGAGGGTCGATGCAGCTCGTTCAGGGCGGGAAGAAAGGTCCGGGAAAAGGGTGGAAGCGGCGCTGGCCCGACTATGTCGAGAGCTCGTTGAGCGGGATGATGAGTGCCCAGGTGAGAAGGCCGGGCGGGGTCAAGGCGGTGATTGAGAATGTGTTTGGTGAGGAAGGGAATCGTGGTGCAAGCCTTTGTAAGTGAACGCTCTTGTTTGGACGAGAGGCTGATGAGAGCAGCCGTGGACGAGCAGAAACTCGAGCACGTCGCGAATGTGCTCTCCCGCATCCCGAGGAACGTCCGGCCAGAGGCGTACCTACCCCAGCTTCTATCGAGCCTGTTCGACCTCATCACACCCGCAGCATCGTCGCAGGTCTCCGCCCCGAAGACTTATGTTCACGCCGCCAGCTACACCGTGCGCAAGCTCTGGGCGTCGCACCCTGCGGTAGTTCGGCCTTGGCTTGAGCAACGATTACACCGGATCTGGCGGCCGGATATCACTGCTGCTCAACATGCCGCTGCGGACCAATCCGAGGATGGCAAGGCTGTTATCCTACCAGCGTCCGAGGTAGAGCGTCAACTCCGCGCGGTCTTGCAGCTGTCCATATACGCTCCGCCAGCACCAGAGTGGCTCGACTTCCTCGTTCGGCCGATACTTGCTCCTCTGGTTCCTCTTTACGCAGCGCTGGGTCGGCACAGCGCCCTGTCACTCCGAGATCTGCGAGTCAGTGGCGCAGGGAAAAAGGCGCAGAATGCTCAGCCGAGCCTGGAGGCAGACGTGTTGTCCCTCATCAAGACGTGGGCGAGGGTCGTAGACAAGGATAACGGGGTGAAAGGTCTCTGGGCCGTTGTACAGTCCAATTTGGACCGGTCCGGCATGGCAAACGAGGAAGGTGGCGGAGCGGCATTGTTCTGGGAACGCGAGGGGGAGGTCGCTCGCTTGGTCTTTGGTCGGCGAGATCAGCATGCCGAAATGACCTCTCAACAAATCGAGGAGGTGGACGACGCCGTGGATGCCGCGCTGGAGCGACTCGATCTGGAACCGGACCCGCAGGCCTTCGCGCGGCTCCTGAAAGAGATCGAGCGAGTCGATATCTCCAGCGAGCTCTTCCTCTTGGTACTACAAGCGTGGCGGGCGGAGTCAGTCGTGGCACAGCGGACACCGCTCCAGTAAGCCACACAAACCGCAACAACGTTAGCACTACTGATCCGGGCAGGGTTGTGCTGTACATGCGGATCGTCCTGGCAATGATGGAGGAGCTGGGTCAGACTCTGCTCGCCAAGCCTGAGCATGTATTGCAGTTCATCGAGGGTGTACTGGGCGACGAGGCGGTGTCTTTGCAAGCTGGGGAGACGCGGCCACTAGTCATCGAGGAGATTGAAGACACTGCAGCGAATCGGGCGCCTCAGGTCAAGGAGAGTGATATTGAGTCTATGAGTATAGTCGAGACGGCGCTGCAGCTGCTCCTGGCGTCTTTGGAGGGTATGTCTGATTGGTCAATCGAGATGGGCCAAGGGCTGACGGCACAGGGAAAGCTCCTTCGTGGAATGGCTCGAATTTGCTTCTGCCGATTCGAGCGCACCTCGAAATCCTCAGATCAAAATCATCCCCCACCTCACGGCGATTGGCGGAAGAGGCGCTCACCCTCTCGTCCGGCAGTATGACGGTGGCCGAGGCCCCGGTGGAAACACCCGTCGCCGTGGCAGTGTCCACCTACCGGCGGGCGTTGTCACTCCTCGCCGACCCCATACTCCCAGTACGCGCACACGGGCTCTCCCTTCTCACCTCGCTGGTCCGCTCGCCGACATACGACCAGGCGCTCACCCCGTCGATAATGGACGTATTCCTTCGATCGCTGCAAGATGAGGAAAGCTACATCTACCTCAACGCGGCGAAGGGCTTGGCGGGTATGGTCGACGGGTTGGGCAAGGAAGTGTTCCGAGCGTTGGTGAGGGAGTATCGAGACGGCGCGGAGAAGGCGGCAAGAGGGTTGGAAGGCGAGATGGACAGGGTGCTCAGGCTTGGCGAGGCGATGGACATGGCGATTCACAGAGCGGGCAAAGGTTTCTCGGCGTATGGTGAGTGATCAAGTAGAAGCTTCGCTCATGCTCAGCGGAGCTGCTCGTGCCAACGCTTTCGGCGATGTTCCCGAATGACAAGTTACCCACGGTTCTCCGCACGTCCTCACTGTCCCTGCTGTCGTCAAGTGCGGAGGCCGACCATCTGTCACTGTTATCCTGGTCCGACAATCTTGTGTCCGGTGCTATCGACCTGATACAACTAGAGTCCGTGTCGTCGTCGCCTTTTCGACCCCCACGCGACGAGACTGCTGCACCCAAGCCCAAGCGGAAAGTTGTTCTCGTCGATGACGAGGAGCCCGATGAGCCAAGGGAGACGGAGTCGGCGCCTCGGACGATTGATGCCGAACCGACACGGGTCGTAGACAGCAAGCATCCCGCGCTACGGCGTGCGGCGCTGGTCTTCCTGGGTTTGATGTTTACGTCACTGATCGAGGCGAGGACGGAGGAGAACGAGCGTACCGTCGCGGAAATCCGCATCCGGCTGCCCAATGAGTCTACAGACATGGGTTATTGTATCGATCCCGCGATCCTCTCCCGGGCTGATACCGTGCTGCGATACATCGCCCAAACCGACGTGGATGAGATGGTCCGGCTACAAGCAACCGAAGTTGTAGGGTTGGCAGAGCGTCTCATGACACTTTCTCTACCGCAGACATTGCGACTACCATAGCATGCATGCGATTACTTCTTCGCCGCTGCGAGCTCCTGCTTAAAGTCCTGCACAGCAAGCCCGTAGCCCGTCGCCTTGTCGTCCACCTCGAAGCCCATGGACTGGAACTGCGTGCTGTCGTAGTCTCCCGCCCAGGTCTCGCAGATGGCCAACACCGCCGAGTCGACCTTGAAGCTGACAAGTTTGAGTGCCTCGGGACCGCCGTGCTCCTCCCTGAGGACATCAGCTCGGTTCAAAGATCAGGGTGCGATCACTCACAAAGCCTGGAGCATCTGCCTCGGGGTGACTTTGATACCAGGAAGGTTGATGCTCCTGCTCTCGCCCTTTTTGAACTTTGACTCGGGCATGCAAATCGCGTAGGCGATGTTCCGGATCACCGTCTTAAATCGGGTGACGTAGCAGCCCATCGTGTCGAGCATGTCGTCGTCGAGGCCCGAGGCAATGGGCACGACCGTGGGGATGCCCTGGAGTGGCTCGCGGATGACGCCGGACATGAATGACGACGCAGCGGTGGAAGGCGCTCCAGAGCGAATCACGACCGACGGCAATCGGACGGAACGGGTGTCGAGGTAGCCTACGGGTCAGCGCGATCCGAGTCGTTCCACCCACCCTTGCGTCCATAGTCGTAAGCGTACAGCTCAATGATGTTCTTCTCCACGCCGTAGCTCGTTCCGGGCAACAGCGGCGTCTCGTCGGGAACGACAAAGTCTTGCGGGCGGCACTTTGGCCCTCCGTAGATCGCCAGGCTGCTGACGAAGACGTACACCGGCTTAGTGGCGCCCTCCTGACCCGTGGCCTTGGCATGGGCGTGAGTCGCCTTGAGCAGAGCGACGTGCGAGTCGACATTCACGGCGTAACCGAGCTCAAAGTTGGCCTCGGAGCCACCAGACATGATACCGCTGCATGATCAGCGGTGCCAGACCGTCGCACTCACTGAAGAGCGAAAACACCGCCAATGGTCTCCCCCTCAAAGAGCGACTTGAGCTGGGAAGCATCGCCCAGGTCCGCCTTGACAACACGAAGACGCGACTTGTCAGAGGTGAATGTAGGGGGCTCGATGATGTCGGTGGTGATGATGCGGAGCGAGGGGAACCGCTCCAGCAACAGCTCGGTGAGCTTCTGGCCGACAAAGCCTGTACGTCAGTTGACGCCTCGGGCAGAACCCACCTCCGGCACCGGTGATCAAGATGGTCTTGACGTGGGAAGGCAGCTTGAGCGCGTCGTAAGTTGGGACGGACATGTTGTAGGGCTTGTTCTGAGCTCTGAATGTAGGGAATGGGGGATCACAATGCATCGCTCACATGAGCTGCTCGGTTGCACTTATACCGCGCCCATCGCTGTCTAGCCACCGAATCGGCACCGAGCGGTTACTGCCGGCCCGAGCTACCGAGCCGGACCGGATGTGGCGTTTCTATAGCCAAGGATTGGGTCGGATAGCCAACAACCCCACGAATATAGCCAACATCTGAACGAGGATAGCCAAGGGCGCGAAAGTGATAGCCAAGGATGCAGAAGTCATAGCCAAGATGCACTGGAGAGATAGCCAACGAACACAGAGAGTCAAGGTGACAGTGCAGTGGTAGCCCATCCCAATAGAAGACGGAGGAGGGTTGAAGCAAGCCCATCGCTGAAGTCCCCCGAAAGCAGGTTCAGAAGCGTCTTCACATACTGTCCAACTTCACGGGGATCGGATCACGGCCTGGACCGATGGACGTCCGAGTACCGATCTTAGAGACAAGAGCCTCAGTCTGGGCGCAGGACACAGCCTGACCTACTTGGCCCCCACGCTGGAACATAAAATATGATCCGATGATCTGGGCGAGCCGCAACACTGACTCTTGCTTCAACAATTATCTGTCCCACTGCGTGTATGAGTCTGCCTGCATTGCGCACAGAGGTGGAGGCATGAAGCTAAGGCGATGCACAACCATAAAGAGGAGAGGAGAGGTAGGAGACGCCACACCGGACGATTGACCCAAAAAGTCTGCCTGTACGAGGGATTGAACCTCGGACCTGTCCCTAGATCGTTTCTAACGCGAGTCTTACGTAATACGAAAGGACCGCAACTCCCACTGTGCTACACAGGCCTCAAGGTAACCCTTGGCTTGCCAGAATGAGTCCAGAGCGACTGGGAGACGTGGAACGAGATGGAGGGTGATTTTGAAGGCGTTGAAGACGATTGTCGGCGAGTGCCACACTCATCCAGCCTCAAAATCTCTTATTCAGGGTTCCAGGCACGCCTTTATTACCCGGGTATTCAATGCGAGGCAAGTAGTGATGAGATATAGTCCAGGATACGTGACCAAAGCCGCAGAGTCGGGAAGGACAGGAGGAACACTGAGGGCCAAGACGGCAAGGCACGTTTCGACCCACAGCGAAACTTATCGCATGTGTATTCTCTTCGCACGCATGTGTTTCTTTGACTACCTAGATTTACTCGAGGTGGGACGGGCCGAAAGTGTTGCAAGACGGTGAGAAAGTGGGGGTCAGCATCAAGAGAAGCGATAAAGGGAGAGTGCCACATCGACTGCCACATCAGCGAAGAAGTGGTGGCGGCTTGCTCACCTTCGTCAAAGCACGAGCGGATCACATCTACACTAATCCATGTCAAATGTAACTCTTGAGGCGCTGTCTCACGTAAAATGTGAAGGCTGAATGTCATGGAAATGGCACGAACGACGCCCTTGGCACGGGATGACACATACAGTCGTGTGAACGGATTCATTCAAAGCGTCTGGAATGCGTATGAAACCTTCCGATCAGGTGTACAACGTCATCGTTCAGGTGTGGCATAACAAAGACCCCCTCATGCAGATCTGGAGGGATACGTGAGGGCTTTCTTCTCCTTCCGCAACTGCATACTCCTCTGCACCCCGAAGTCGTCCTCGAAAACCTCGAAAACTTCCTCTAGGCTCAACCCGGACGTCTCGGGGTAGCACGACAGGCAGAATACCCATGCTGCGGCGCAGAAGACAGCGTAGATGCCAAACGCGCCCGAAGGGGTGGCGGCGTTCATGAGACTGAGAAACGTGGCGGCGATGAGGAGGTTGCACGACCTGGCGAATGAGCTGACATTCGAGCTCCACGATGTGAAGATCTTCGAGCGGCTCACCAATTTACCGCGGTGCAGATGGAGGTCCCCACGCCTCTCACCTCAATCCGAAACAGCTCCCCTTGTTGCCACGGGATGTTGCCCAGGCCCGTGGCATAGCCAGCGACGTAAACTATCATCGAGAGCAAGACGAGGCTTGTCCACTTGGTCGAGTAGGTTTGACCCTCGACGAGCACCCCACCGGTATTTCCGGTGAGCTCTAGTTCGACTCAGCATTGGCCCCTGCGCCCCTTGCCATCTCTCATACACACAAGGACGCACCTCTGAAGCACACCGCACAGGCGAGCAACGCTCCCATCAACACCGGTAGCGTGTACAGCATGGTGCGTCTCCGCCCAAACGGATCGAGGATCCGCAGCGCCACAAGCGTGAAGAGAAAGTTGACAAAGGCGATGATGAGCCCCACGGCTGTAGGATTGTTGAATCCCAAGGCAGCGAAGATCGACGCGGAATAGTACCTACCAGGAGTAATCAGTATATGACATCGCCCCGCACAGATCTGACATACATGAGAGTGTTGAAACCGCACAGCTGCTGTGCAGCTTGTAGTCCACTTCCGATGACTTGGCCGTCAGCACTTGAAGTCAAGCCGAATTGTACACTCACCCAATGCTCTTCGATTCGCGCCTACCCGCAAAAGCAACCCCACTCTATCCCGCAAACCATAGCCCGCCTGCGCGGCCATTCCCGCCCGAACCGAGTTGGTTATGGACCGTATTTTCCCTTCTAGCTGGGAGGGAGTGGCGGTAGGGTAGACCCGGGAGAGGATTGCTCTTGCTTCGTCTACTCGTGAATCGACCAGCAGCATACGAGCTGCAACGGCGTCAGGGACAGTTCGCGCGGTGACATACCGACGTACGGGACTCTGGGAGCGTCGCGAGCGAGAACAGTTGGATCACAGCAGGGACCGCGCCAATGCCGACCATGTATCGCCAGCCATGAGACACGTGCTGAAACGTTGCTCCGATGGCTATTTGCTGTGAGCCTCGATGACCTCGGCAGGCGCGTGCGTGTTCACGTCCAATGCCTCATGTTGACTCACCATATGCGAGTACTTGGCCCAGCGTGACCGCGACGACATTGATGGTGACCAACTTGCCTCTGATCAGGTCCGGAGCTAGCTCTCCGATGTACAGCGGTACGATGCAGGACGCGAGTCCTACGCCCACGCCGACGATGAACCGTCCAGCGATCATCGTTGATACCGTATGACACGCCTCGGTCATGTCAGCTTGCATCTCTCCATGCGGGCGGCAAGGGACGGGGACCGTGGATCTCACTTACGGCTTGGATCAGCGCACCTAGCACGAACACCACGCTTGCCAGTGTGATGACGCGTTTTCTCCCCGTATGATCAGACATGCCCCCAGCGACCAACCCCCCGACCAAGGCTCCCAGCGTCGTCGCAGACGTGATCAGCTCCTTCTGCCAGTCAGAGAGGGGGCTGCCTAGATCCCGACCGATGACGACAAGGGTGCCGGAGATGACCCCGGTGTCGTAGCCTGTAAGCGAGGTCAGACCGAGCCGAGCAACTCTGCAAAGGATGGGCCGAGGATGCGAGCCGGCGAGCAATGTGACTTTCCGAGGAGGCAATCAAAACGGCAAAGAAAGGGTAGTGAGCTTCGGGGACCTACCGAAGAGGAGCCCAGAGATCGCAGCTGTGCACGCTAAGGTCAAGACGAAGCGGGTGATCCTGCGCGATCAGCTCACCCCGCGGACCTAACCTCTGACGAGGGGCAGCACTCACCGATCCTCCCCCTCCGCGACAAATCCTGCCTCATCGTCATTCCCACCATCCTCCTCCTCTGCGTCCCCTTGACTCGATCTCTCGCCCTCTTCATTCCCCTCTTGCGCATGGCGATTGCCCCTTGCTGATGCCGGCTCTGGATGAAGCACATGCAGCTTCCTCACCAGCTGCTCTGGTGACGAAGGGGGGTACTCTTGCACCGGCGAGTGCCCCCGGCCGGAGCTCGGAGTGGAGGACCTCGACCGCAGTGGGGTGTAACTAGCAGTCGCAGTCACGGGCCCCTGCATGGCTGAGCGGCGAGCCGAGGGCTCAGCAACACTTCCCGTGTCGGGTACGGTACGATGAGAGGTTGCGATGAGATGAAGCGAAACTGGGAGTCGCGTGCTGAAACGGCAACACGACCGGTACAGGCACCCGGTGGAGGTGCAGCTGCTCTCTCCCTCTCGCGCATGAATGGCAGGAAAAGAGCTGCATATCTGGCCCGCCTGGGCGGGGGTGAGCCTAGGCGGCAAACTATGAACAGCTGTAGACAGGAAGAGTCAGGGACGAGGACCGTCAGGATCTGGGCTGGGCGGGAGACACTCCTTCTAATAGAGGGTCGTCTCGGGGAAGATGGATGTCCGATGGAGACATCGAGACACCCACTCACAATTGCCCTGTAGCCCGAAATACGTGACCCCTCCAACATCTTCATGAGATGCGATTGCAGTTGCTCATACGCGTGCACTACTTCCTGATTCGTTTACCTCTACTTTTCGACACACTGAATGCCACGAGCTCGAGAACGAAGTTTGAGAAGAGAAGTGCACGGGGATCAGAGGAGACCGAGACGTGGATCTGTTTTACAGAGAACTGACCGCTTCCTCCCTCACCCCTGCCCTCTTTCCCTCCCTCCCTCCCAACCCCCCACCTCTCACCACACTCCACCTTGATTCAGCACCAAAGAGCAAACAAAGGCAGACCATGGATGCATAATGCAGTGTCAATCCCACGTGACCCCTTCCTCCTCGTCTACGTCCATCTTCGACTCGTCCCCTGCCTCCTCATGCCGCATCGATGCCACGCTGCCAGCCCGACTCACGCTAACACTCCCTGTCCTGCTCACGCCGACGCTACCTGCCCTGCTCACGCCGACGCTACCTGCCCTGCTCACGCTCCCTCCCCTCGCCCCGGGAGTTGACGGCGCTGGTGTCGCCCTCGCGCTCTCGATCTCCAGCTTCACCGGCGTTCCCTCCGGCCTGGGCGTTCTCGCCTCGGACTTTGGCGTCCCCGCTCTGGACAACCCTTCCGGTCCGGGCGTGGGCGTTGCCGTGCCCTTTTTCCTCTTCGCGGACGACGCCGACGCCGCCGACTTCTTCTTCGCGCCCGCCTTGGCCAATTTCGCCTCCATCGTCGCCTTGCGCTTCTCGTCCTCCTCCATCTCCATCCGCATCCGCTCCGCCGCTTCCTCCTCGTCGGCCTCGTCCAGCTCGCGTTCTTCGTCCCGGAACTCGGACCACCGCTCGCTCATAGCCCGCGCGGAAAGGGCTGCAGGGGGTTTGACCCATTTCGGACCGAAATTGCAGCGGAGTTTGCCCCGGCCAAAGCAGGATACCATTGGGTAGTATCCCAACGTCCCGTCATCGTGCAACAGATCCTTTTGCGGGTCGAAATGATGCACCCCGTGCCGTTTAGTCTGCTGAGGATTCAGCGGGGGGAGCGGGAGAAAGTCGTAAATTTCGTCGAAAGCCGTTCCGAGTGGTTCGCCGTTGAGGAAGAACTCGACTCGGGAACCCTGCAATCGCGGTAATTCCCTAGCCACCGGTGCACTCGGCTCCACCACCTCCTTCTTCCCCTTCTTTGCGTGCTTGGTCGTCGCGCCCTTCTTCTTCCGCCCGTTCACTTCCTCCGCCTTGGCAGCTTCGGCCGCCGCTTTCGCCGCAGCGAGCTTCCCCTCGCGATCTACCAGCACGTCCATCTCTTTCGCGGGGAGGTACTCGCTCATCTCGAAGTACCACTGGCCCTTGTAGTGTATTGGGACTCTTCGGCGGTACACCAGCGAAGTATCCGCCGGGTCGGGTCCTCGGCTCGGTTTTGGTCGAGAGGGCAGGGTGATCAGACAACCGACCACGTCGCCGGAAGAAAAGGATCTCCCGTATGGTTTCGGTCTTGATAGGTGTAATTTCTCTCCGCCCACATCTCGGATACCGTACGAGTACCCGTCCGAGCCCACCGGCGCGTCCAGACTC